GTGCCGTTGGTCCGTCTTGCCTTCCGGGTTGGAGTCCACGTGACTTACCTTGTGCTTGGCTCGAGACTTTGCAGGACATGGCTCGCAACCGGCACCAGTGGCGCTTCTGCTGCCGTCTTCTAATCGGATTGACGGTTTGAAGTATGTTTGGTGCTGTGTTATCTGCGGGATAATGGCTGATTATGACGCGGGGCAGTGAAAGCCGCAAGGAAGCTGTCTCGCGGATGCCGCCTTATCTTTGCACGATAGCCAGCTGTTTTTGACGGAATGTTGTCTACACAAGATGTAGGCGCCTTGAGCCTGAATGTTTGCTTAGGGCATTAAGGTTTTCGGATAAGTCCCCCTTCTCTCCCTCTTCTTATTCTTTATTTCATAGGTCCTCATGGTTGTATGGCAGCGAAGCATCAGTTCAAATGGCTGATGTACTGCTGTTGATGATGATGATGATGTGGTAGCGCGCCAGTTCCATCGCGACCAGTGCAGTGCGACGCTCGGGGCGTTCACCGGAGTTCCGGTCAAGTAGTGTGCTCACGTTCCAGAACCAGATGCTGAGTGCTTTGCGCGCAGGCGTTCGATTGCATTGATGAGCAATTGCACGCGAGATGGTCGTTGTGCTTCAGAGGTTTGCTTGAGGGAATCTACCCGGAGCCTTTGGCTCAATAACCTGACCCACAAGGCAGTGGGTGATTTGGAGGTTTGCTTGAGGGACTCCGCTCGGAGCCTTTGGCTCAATAGCCTGACCCACAAGACAGTGGGGAGCAGATCCAGCTGGGGAATGTGATTGCAGAGGTGGATTGGGATTTGCTTGGTGGCCGTCACACGCAGCCTTTGAGGTGCTGGAACGATTCATATATATTTTTGCGACCGTAGTAGGACACGCACCTGCGAATACGGCAAGACGCAGGTGGGTTTTGGCGGGTTTGCACCAATTTGACCAGGGGCTTGCTGACTTGGGGCTGGCAGTAGCAAACCATTGAACACTCGGAGGTGCCCTCCCACCGTCAAAGACAATGCGTGTCGCTCGTGCTCTACGCCAATCGAGCAATGAGAATATAACCCGTAGACCTGTTGTCTCTTATGGCTAGGTTTTACTGGAAGAGAGCCATCCACCAGTTCATAACCTCCAAAGAGGATGTACTAGGATACTGGCAGGAGAATGACTCGGGTCCTCAGCCAAAGCTTTCGATTAAAGGTACACCAGAAAGGCAGAGGGTTTAGCGCATGGTCAGTTCACTGACTCATGCGGATTGGTATCCTGGATCTTAGCAGGGAGAAGGGCGCAACCCAGCTTCCACCCAGCTGTCGCCACGAGGCGTCCAGGACATGAGTAAATGGCACAACAGTAGCAGCAGTGGGTAGACTATCTGTCAGAATCTAGCCACCACCAGCCTCGGCCCACCATAGGCTCACACACACACACACACACACACACACATATATATATATATATATATATATATATATATATATATATATATAGCATTCCTGATGCTTCTTCACCGCAGTTGGGCTAAACCAACTTACACTTAAACTAGGTCTTTTTAAGCTGGCTAAATTTCATTCCACTTTAGTTGGTTTGTTCTGCCTACCTGAATACTCTTCTATTAACTGGCCATGTTGCTTACATTAATTGCGCTTATCTTCGGTAGCTTTGTTGCGTTTTGTAGCATTTTTAACTAACTTGTGGACATTTTTTCCTTTACGCCGATTCGTTGCTAACCAACTAACTTACTTCATATGCTTATTTAGCTTAGAGTTATGCCACCGTATCGGTATGCATTATTGGATTTGTTTTATTTCATCTTGTCGTTCCAGGTGATTGGCTGTTGCTTGATATCCCCGGTGTGGCTGCGCTTGATGTGCATGTTGACAAGGTGCCTACCTGTCTATTACCCACTACGTCGTCCATACTGGCTCCAGGAGACAGTTGGTCGTTTCTGGAGGGGACGGGGTGCACGGTCCTTGTGGCCGTGCTAGGCTCGAAGAGTGGTTCCATGCACTCAGTGTGGAGCGGACTACGGTCCAGCCACCGCCTTGTGTGCTCATGATTTCCCAAATACAGCGTGCTTGTGTTTGCTTGTGAAGGAGTGTGGGCCGGCTCCGTTGATGCAACCTGGCTCCCATCCACATGCCTCCCGGTCTTATTCCTTCGGGTTTACACTGGATATGGGGTGTGTGCTTGGAGCTGTGTGTGGTGCAGCGCAAGTCATCCATGGTCTCTCTGTAGGCGCAGGCGTCCTGTGGCTGGCCACGGTGACAGGCAAATCCGAAACCGGATGCCGCCAACGATTTGGCATGGATAGCGTGTGGATGGGAGCCATGTTTCATCAGTGGAGCCGGCCCACACTCCTTCAACAAGGAGAACAGAAGCGTTCTTGCCTAATTGGGAAGTCATGCACATTAGACGTACACCTGGTTGTGGCTGTGCCCAAGACCGTTCCACACAGGATGGAACCACTCTTTGAGCCTATCACCGTCATGAGGACGGTGCACCCCGTTCCCTCCAGCAATGACCAACTGTTTCCTGGAGCCAGTATGGACGACTTAGTTGGTAATAGACAGGTAAGCACCTTGTCAACCTGCACATCAGGTGCAGTCACACCGGGGAGTTCAAACAACGTCTACTTCTGAAATGCAAGATTACTCAGCACGCAGGCAAACGTACCCCATACGCTGCCTTATTGACCTGGGTTAGTAAATCCAATGGGAGCGTATGCATCGTGCTTCTGTTCCACGTGCAACAGTGCCTTCTCTTTCACCTGAGCAGTCATCCTTTTGAGCAATCCACGGAATTCCCACCGATTAAATTTGCCTTGGATTCGCAACACCTGAAAGCAACATGCGTTTGTCGTAAAATCACCTTCATATTCTGTTGATGTTATTTTCCGTTTGCTCGAGTGCCGCTTCCATGCACTAAGTAGGCTTTATAAAAACGGTATGAATATCCTCGTCGAATTCATTCAGTATACATATATACATGGATTAGCGTCATCCGTGTGCAATGGCAGTTCGAATACGACGTATGCACATGCGTTTATCCAAACTTAAGTGTGATCTGTCAAACACTGGATAGCGACACATCAGACCTCATGATCAATGTTACTACAAACGTGTATAGCCTTCGTTTGGAGATCAGGCTAACATCCACTTTCGCCGGCATGACAATAAGTACTTAATACGAACTGTTGATGTTTTCTTCAACATTTATAAGTGACAGCCTTACATCTTGGGCATCCATATTTAAAGGAACCCGATATAGGGATAGTGAAGCAACTGCTAGGTAGAATGACATAAACTAGTGGTACAGTAAAATAGTGTGCACTTAGGTGTTGACATCTGGTTTGCGTAGTTGATGAGGGAGGTCGCACAGTGTACGTATGCGATGGAGTGTCCACTTCTGGCTCTCCGTGTTGCCGACCGGTCCGGTCATCTGCTGCCCTATGTACGTGCAGATTTTCAGAGAATGATTGATGCGCAACTTTTGATCTTGACAAGTGACATCAACTAAGTCCCGTTGCCCACTGTCAAACATTCTACTTTCCAATCAGTGTTTTGCAAATGTCCAAGTACTCAACCGTTTGTACATACCGATGTGTACTCTGCTGTGGCCATAAAGCTATGTGATAACAATCTGTATCGTACGTCTTGGGTGCAGCCACTCGGTGCTCACAAAACGATTGTCGCTATGCGCCGATTCCTTTCCGAGGTAATATGCCAAGACACTGGGGTACCATTCCCGTTGGGTTTAACCTTCTACTTAGTCCATCCAAAAGATTGGCCATGTGCAATGCAACTTCTGGTAAGCGTCTCTGCGCTCCCGCTTTCCATCCGCTTAGTACGTGCGTTTCATAAGCCCCGGTAAATTCAGTATGGCTGATGAACAACTAGAAATATATCTATGCTCACTCCCGTCACTAACCTGCGGAGTGGAACATGAACTGGCGACATTTTAATAATCGCTAATCGGTTAATTGTCGGGATTGTTCACTTGCCTCACAGTTGCTTGACAATAAAATGCTCTGGCTGTTGGAAGTCCAATACAAACGCACTTTGCCCATTGTTCGATAACCACTTCAGGTGCATATTGGCGTGCCTGGTTTTTATTACTAACTGCGTGCCTGCATTGCCTGCATTTTGATTTCAAGACTTCGATAACCTACCAAAGACGCCAGTTTCGTAGGTTTTCTGAAGATCTTCAGCCTTTTCCAACACCTGAAATGGATACGTTTCTGGTGGCTTTTGGCTGTTACTTGGTGTTGTCATTCCTGGCTGGTACATATTAGGATTCCCATGATATTCAGTACCTAGAAAACCAATTCTTTTCGTTGTGGCGCTATGTTCCTTATTGTCAAGATCTCGCATCCCACTTTGGTATTCGGTGAAACCGCCACATTTTAAACGTCGGTTATGTTGCAGCAGGATGTATTTAACCTGGGTTAACCTTACTAACCTAGCCTTGTCTATTTCTTCTTTTCTAAACGAAACAGCGTCATGCGGGATATTGGTATCCCACCAAAATACCATAAACGATCCGAAGAAACTGTACTTATTTCTTATACATTTTAATACACACCCCAAGTGGAATACAATTGCTGTCGCACAGTTGCTTTGTCTACTTTGAATGTTTACACCATGTATTCCGTACACCAACACCGGCTAGTTGTTTGATGGTTCCCTTCTCTGGATTGCAACCGATTCGAGCCTGTTTGGGCGCGTGCGATTTCGCGGTGTCCTTAGTCTGCACACGGTTGTTTTCGATGGCGTGGTGACTATGCATCGCGGTAATTTGCCAGTGTAATACCTCTGCTACTTGTTCTGCCCCCCACACTTCGTGCACCTGTATTGAGCACTTTTACTTGTAGGATACTGCGTTTAGCAGTACAGCGGTAAACTCGATTACCTCTTATACCTACTCCCTTCGTTGTATTTGCGCCACTCATTTTATGCTCATTTTGCCCATCTCGTGACATTTGCGCGTTCATTTTTCCAACATTTTTCAGTGTGTGGAGGACATAGTCCTTCCTACAGCAGCTTGCCCTATTGACAACCGATTCATACGAGAGACTCGTTTGGCCGAATATGTCCTTCGCGCGACGCAGGACAGTTTTGAGGTTGGTCTAACCGCACTTTGCTTGTCTGTTACGCTATGTGAGAACTGTACATCAAGCACACCTAGGGACAGCTGCGACATTTGCACATTGCTAAACCCACCTTATCGTCCGTTTCTCAACCCATTGCTCTCAGCCGTCAGTTTATTTAGTCCCCTTACTTTCTGCCAGTATACCTGTCTGATTATTTTATCTTCTTTTAGGCATTTATCACTAGTTATCGTGGTTGCCTGACTACTGAACTGCTCTCTTTACTCAAACTGTGCCATGACTTACCACATGGTGAGTCGGCAGGGAGGATTGCGTACATTGAGTCTGATGTTTTGTTCACAATTCCCAAACCGAAAAGATTGAACTGCACAATCTATAAGATAAAATTGTTAGACCTGACCTTCGGCTAGGCACAATTTTTGGTAGTTCAGCAATTGATCGCAGAACCCGATATGGAAGCCGAGGTTATAGTTAGTGCGATGCTTCCTCTCGTTAGCTCAGACGACCGATCGCAGTGACAAACAAGCCGACTAGCGACGACCCAACGCGCACAACCGAAACCAGAAAGCGTATCGAAACTCGTAGACGTGTAACTCAGATTTTGGATAATTAACATAAATTGTGCGATAACGGGCACGAGGATAGGAAAGTATATTTGAAACACGGAATTACACTGGTGTAGGACGCCGAGACAAATGCTCGGTATTGGTGTGTCATCGCAGATCAGTAGTCTGAAAAGAGCAACTGTACATCCGAAGCGTGTGCAGTGGTGCGAGTCCGAGTTTATCGTGAGTTGCTTGGGGCGTGAAAGAGAAAACAGTGTCACACATGGGCTGAGGGGGAAGCGTGCTTGTGATAGTGAACTGGTTGGTGCCAGGAATGTTTATTGGTTTCTGAAGTGATCGCATCTCGACGTAGGTCGGCTTCGGACGTTCAATAATTACAGTATCATGGTAACCACTTCCATCCAACATGATGTACTTCTTCCGAGCAACCACCTTGTAAGAGCCCTCGTAAGGCGGTGTCAGCGGTTTACGGACGGAGTCGACACGTGCGAGAACGAAGGGGCATGTGCGCAAATCCAGGCCTGCCTGCTAATTCCGTGGGCTGATTCGGGGTGGTGATGGACGAATCGAGCTGAAGTGTTGCCACTTCCCCAGTCATGCTTGAATCTAGTACTATATCTCCGGGAACTCTGTGAGTATTGCCGAAGACCAACTCAGCGGGACCATACCAATGTCTTCAATGGTGTTACGCTTACCAAGCAAGATGATCGGTGGACGTTCCGATCATTTACAAACAATCGTAAACTTATGGAATACGCTACCAGAAGGACTGATGGAAGCAGATTCTGTGAAGTGTTTTAAGACACATATCGACCAGTATTTCGGAAGCCAGTACTTTTGTGAAACGGCGCACATATAATGGAAAAAGTACATCCTATACCCGGAAATAATGACACCAATACGAATTCCTAACCGAACAAAGATAAACGATTAACTGATCAAACACTACCACTGACGATTCGCAATCGAATGCTTTTGATTTTTCATAATTCGATAGAGTTATATAGAAACCTTTCTACTTGCTCTTAAATACAGTCTCAGACTGCGGAGCGGTATTTACCGGCTTTAATTTAGCGACTGAAGCGTGCAACGGTGCCATTGGCAACCGCATGGTGTGCGGTTGTTTATAAATGGGAACAGCCACGATAGCGGTTCAAGTCACTAAGCAAAGCTGAATTAATTTGAGGCCCTCTATCGGTACTAATAGTGGCGGGTCTGTTAAAGATGTAAATCCAATTTTCAAAGTGTGTCCGCGCCATTTTCTCCACAGAAACATCTCGTAAAGGCACAACAGGTGGCCAACGCGTATAACGGTCAACACGTCAGGAAGTAGACGAGGCCGTTGAATGGAGGCAGGGTCTAACGATGTCAAGATAAACGTCTTGGCTATGGGCGTCGGGAAGCACAAATGTGTTTTGGACAGTAACCATGTGACGGTGGGCATTGCTGGTTTGGCAAGTGATACGGTGTTTTACCCACTGCTGAATCTCGGAACGCAGGTTGTGCCATATGAAGCGATCAGTAATCAACTTGACGGTGTCTCGGCTAGGGTTCCCATATAGGTGGTCAAAGACAGTTCGGCGGTACTACTGATGAGCAAAAGGCCGGGGCTTTTTAGTTGACGTGTCACTGTGCATCTGGAGTCTAAGTTAAGAATTAGTTTACGTGATAGTTTGATCAATGGATTCGCCCTCAATTGCACAAACTCGGGATTACTTTTCTGATGAGCTGCTATGTCTTTTAAATTAATCGTCTGACGCGAAACTACCTGAAGACAGACACGCGACATAGCATCGGCGACAGCCTTGTTGGCAGTATCATTGTGACGAATGTCGGATGAAAACCGTGAGATTTAATCTAAGTGATGGATTTCTCTAAGGGAGAGACGATCAGGTGAACCACAAAACACAACAGCAAATGGTTTGTGGTCCGTGAGATTGGTAAACATGCGATCTTCAAAGAAATTTACAAAAAGTTTGATGGCGAGATACATAGCTAAATGTTCACTACCGGATGTGCGTCCGTGAAGGCTGAAGGTTGCGAGGGAAACGGGCTCAGGTTGGCCATTGAATACTTGCTGGAGTACAGCCCCAACGGCGGTCTGTGACGCATCAGCCTTGAGAATAAGGGGTGTGACATCAGTCCCCAGATGACTAAGTGCGGTAACACTAGACGATGCGCGCTTGATCTTGTCAGATGCATCCCTTCCTGGGTGGGCTCGAATTTTCGTGTCTTTAAGCAAAGCGGTCAGTGGCTGGATCAGTCCAGAGCAATCAGGTCTGCACCGATTTTACTAATGTAACATGTCGCGATAACAACGCAGAGTTATGAAAGTTTGCGGAATGGGGTCATCTTCACTTTCTAGCATTTTCTCGGGGAGTGCACTGATACCATTGCAACCAATTCAGAGGCCTAATAAACCGATAGAACTTCGGCCAAAACCACAATTGTGAACATTAGTCGAAACGTCGTACTAAGTGAAGCGTTGGAAAATCGATCGAATGTGTGATAAATGCTCATTACGATTTGTACTGGTTACAAGAATATCGTCATTGTAGATGAAAGCGAATTCGAGTTCTTTAAGAACCAGATCAATCGACCTTTGGAGAGCATTTCGTAGACCAAGCGGCATGTGAACGAATTCATCAAGGCCAGATATTGTGGTTATAGCGGTCTTCGGAATGATTACGTTAGAGAAAATCGTTCTTCCAGGTAGATCAAGTGAAAGATAATGATGTGCGGAACCGGATGTTTGTCGGGGACGGGGACGTTATTTAGTGCCCGGTAATCTCCACAAGGTCTCCAGCCACCACTGAATTTTTTTAGGAGCCATACACAACGCGGGTGATCATAGGAAGAATGGACGATACAGTGATAAAGCACATGTTCGAACTGTCTTGGCAGTAGCGAACTTTTCCAGGAGTAATCGTCCAGGTCGGTTGGTCAATGGATCTTCATGCGTTAGGATGTGGTGCGTACTTTCGTGTTTAGACGCTGAAGACTGCAGAACTAGTGGGTGCTATCAAGCGTAGACCGATCGAAGTGACTACCCGAAACGGTCAGGGACGCTGCAATATCGCGCAGTTTTCTATTACGCAGATCCACGCTGAGACCGAACTTGGTGGGAAAAACAACATCAGCGATGGGAAGACTTCGATGGAGACCCAGCTTGAGGGGGAGCGTTTTCTGGCCTTGTATATAAATCTTTGCATTGTTAGCCGCATGCGCTATCAGCCCGGTTGGAAGTAGGTTGCGTTTTTCTGCAGCTCGAGGAATAACGCTAACCTCGGCGCCCGTGTCGACTAAGAAGTGCGAATTAATTGAGGCCACTGCAAGGGCGTCCCCATTACTGCTGGCGTGGATGTTTCCCCTTTGAGATTTGCAGAAACCCTTCGGCTTTTTACAGCCAGGTCGACAGCATCTCCAAAACTATGGTCATATCAACAGAAATTTCGTGCCGAATCCATTCTGTGTTATGTCTTTCGAGAGGCGCGTGTTGTTCTTCTACAACCTTGGCGTTTCATACTCGAGATGTCGAGGTCCAGCTTCGATAGCTTATCGCAGATCGTTTCACTCGAGTCATTCTTGTCAGCGACGTGGGTCGTCGGTTATACAGTGACACACTGTGTTATTAAAGAAATACTTGTGAACCTTATCGACTGTCCCGGCTAAGTTGTTCAAAAATAGGTCATTCGCGAATACAGCAAGAATAGCTGAGGTGTTCGCTAGAAGACATTTTATCCACAGTTGTCACAGGACAGTGCCGTCGATCTTAGTGGAACCGACCAATATACGCGTGTGTCTGAGGAGTTGTGAGGTCCTGCGGTCACCTACTTAGACCCCGGAAAGAAGCTGTCGTATTCTAGTATCATGGTGGTACAAGCGTATCACGGCTGCTTTGAGCTTATCTTAAGGCCGGAATCGGATGGAGCAAATCGGTGAGGTCATTTGCAATGTAGGTAGGGAGTTGGGCAGTAACATGTGCAAATGTCAGTGACTGCAAGGCAATGCGACGGATACGAAAAGGCTAGCAATTGTAAAAATCACACATGCGGATTGGATAAATCGAGAGCAGGCAACGAAAGACCAAACACACTTCCTGATTTGGCAGTGTGAGAAACGTGGTCCGAAATTGTAAATGCACGCAGAAAAGGAGTTCTTAGCCTTCGAAAACAGAAAACGACGTCACCAAATATGTAGTCGAAAAACCGAATCAAAAGGGTTAGACTGCACAGACGAACTCTCAGTCTATAAGATAGGAATGTTAGACCTAACCTTCAGTTAGACACATCCTCCTTAGCCCAATAATTGATCACAGAACCAGATAAGGAAGGTGAGATCTTAGTTGGTACGATAATTCATCGTGTTAGATCTGACAATCAAACTGACGACATCCCAACATGCTTAGCGGAAATCAGAAAGCGAATCGAAGTTAGATTTTTGGTCAATTAACCCAATTTGGGCAAAAATAATAGACACGAGAATAGGAAGTTACAGTTGAAATCTGCGTCAGAAACATTCAATTTCGATTTTCATCTGCACAGCCTTTATTTTTTTAACTAATAAGCAAAGCTCTTATGCTTAATTATGCACGGTTGAGACAGTAAACATCTACACATATGTAGCAATGGCATAGTAATGCCATTGCTTCACTTAGTTTTCAGAAGCGCCTGCTTTGAGAAGTCATCACGACGGACGAAATCATCGTTTGCCACTTTCCTTATCCGCATTTTTATCCATTGTGTTCCTCCTCGTTTCATGGTCAGCACATGTCTCCACTCCATAGTTCCAGTATCTTTTTATGGTTTAGGCGATTTATTAAAGGGCCGTATTTTCCCTTGCTTTTTGATAAAAAACTAACTCATAGATCCACAACTACATATTGCTTTTGTGTAGTCAGAGGTCGTCTGATTTGGTTAATGCTATGATTCACATCGAAACTACCCGCTGGATGTGCTATACAGTCGGTCAAAAACGCCGGCGCTAAACGTGTCCAATATCTACGCAGGATGTAAACCGAATCTTGCCCTTCACTATACATTCGATCCAACTGAGTCACTTTTGTTGACTTCGTTCATAGGATACCTCATCAGATGCAGGTGTTATAAAGATTCTGGAACGTCGAGTGGATGCTTTGACCACAGTGATAGATCGATTGGTTGAACATTTGGCCATCCGCGATATGGTCAACAACTTCCACCCCAAACATCTCCTCAACGACAACATTTCTAGCCACCATCCCCCCATCGGCATCCGTGAACCAACTAAGGGACCGGTGATAACAGATTCTGAGGATTCTGATCACACTCACGTTCCCACTCAGGAAGCAACGTCTGACCTCGGTGCTCAAACGAAAGCCTGCAATCTGATGAATGCTTTAATGCTTTGTAATCTGCCAACCGAAACGATTGATGAAAGTGGGTCACGAACTGATTTGGTCATTACATCTACAAACGTTCGTCAACTTTTACCCCGTTTCTGGAAGAGGGCGACTTCCGAAAACTGGTCGGATGAAGAGAAAGTTCAGCGCTTGAGAATGATCTGTGATCCTGCACTGCAACGCCTATTGGACAACGCGGACGTTTACCGCAGGGATTGGGCCTACGTTTCTGCCATACTGTACGGTGACCATGTGTTGGATGAGGTTAGCATGACTCGATGGCTTGGCTCAATGCGTCAACGTCAGACGGAAACCCCTCACCAGTGGTACCTGCGCGTTTGTGATGTGGTTGAGCGTGGTTTACCTCCTGGCCCACGACAAGAATGGGAGGTGCTCTCCACCTTTGTCCGTGGCCTTCATCCCAGATATCAACAAGCCTTGGTCCCCGGAAATCTCCCACCAATCCCAGATATCATTCAGCGGTGTTCCCAGTTGGATGCAAAGATTAATAGCGCCCTAACGAATGGTCACATTGAACGCAGACGTACATGCTTCTCCTGTGGAGCCCCAGATCATCTTATGCGCGACTGCCCGGTAAACAAAGGTAATGTCAACTAGAGTATTCGAACCATCTAGACTAACTGCTTTTTGTTCATATGACATCCTCTTTGTTATCTAATTCACAGATGAGGCTCATCGATGGACTCCACGGATTGTGTAGATCACATTGTAAAGGACGTTGCTTCTACTGACTACATTATTTTATCACACCGAGAAACTGCATTTGGGCTAATTCATCCTATACCTGTCTATCATACAGATAATTTGTATTGACAATGATGCAGAGTAAATGATCGTTTGCCAATGGAATTTTCTGTTTTCACAAGTGTCGCTCCATCGTAAACGATAAATGACTTTTATTACTATTAACTCTGGCTTCCTGAGAGGAAGTTGCGTCGGCAGTGCCAGCAATTACAACTTTCCATTTGGGAATGTAAGGCATCAACAGCACACCAGTACGGTGCACTGACGCTTCGCTGCCACGCAACTACAGGCGGCTGCGCTCGGGTTGGGATGCTGCAGCGACGCCCAAACCAATACAGAAGCGAGGGCTCAGACCTGAGCTCTAGAGGTTGCAATTCAGGCGCATGCACTACGGATACCATTCGGTTTGATTCCTCCCACTTATTTGGTACAACTTGGCATGAGTACTGTTTGGAGCCGGTACGCGAATACCTCACACTTTCTAAATTCATATGAGGCATGCATGCCCACTGTGCGATCAAAGTTTTGTCACGTGGCGATCTTCGCTAACTGAATCATTGACTCGTAATCATTATCATTTTAGCTAGAGGTGGGAACACTTCAGCCATTGTGCTGCATTACACGAGAGTAAAAAAGAAAGGCAACACAGGTACGTCAGCTAAACCACCAGTAACGGATGGACATTGTTCCAGGAAGCTAAAACCGGCTATTGGGCCGCAAAAAAATTTACGTTTTGCTTCAGGACTGAGATCGTGGTTAGAGGAGAGGCTAAGCCGGAAGGTGATGGACAACGAATCACAACACAAATGCCACTGAAATTGGCTCCTAGCCATGTCAACAATTCTATTCAGCTAAACGTGTTCATCGTTTTGAGGCCCCAACCAAGGAGCTGAGAAACTCCAGCCAATCCATTTTCGAATTAAGGTACTTCAGTCCTCTTGCCGATGTCTTCGGCTGGCCTCCTTTCCTCTTTTTCCACCACACCCCGGTCGCACGTCGCGGCATACACAACACGTGGCCCAGCCATCGGAGCCAGGTTCGTGAAATAACGCTGCTGAGCAGTTCACTTCCTCTTCCTGTGCCCGGCCCGTAGCCAAAAGGATGACAAACCTGCCTCGTAATCCAAGGGCTCGGGTTCGAGCTTCCGTAGGGGACCAGGCGACCCTCGTCGTATCCGTAGGTTACGCGCGACTTCTGGTGGTTGTGCGGCAGCGAAGCGTTACTACTGCTTACCGGCGTATTTCTGATACCCTGTGTGCACCCGAGAATATATTATTTATTTGTAACTGCTATAAACAAGGCGCCGAACACGCTCATTGCTCACGGTGTTCCCACCAGATGTGAGCCAAATTGCGGAGGTACCGGTGCTCAAACGTAACTAGTCTGCTGATCAACAGAGCCAAGTTTCACAACCATACAGTAGTGTCGAACGTACATCTGCATTGGACAATATAACCTTCAGGGAGAGAGTGCTATCACGTTGGCGCCATAGGTGGTGAAGTTTAGCAGAGGCGCATCGTGCTTTTGCTATACGGTATGTGACCTCGTCTTCTATTCCATAGGCGCTGATACAACTGCCTTGGTGTTTGCATTTCTGAACGATTTCTATCTACTCATCATCACGCGTCAGCACAGGAGGCGGACCCTGCAAATCATGGATGAATGGTTTACACTTCGAGGGTGTAAAGCGAAACCCGAGGCTGCTGACCGCCGGTGCTTATCTGTCTAGTGCTTCTTGGCACGTTTGTGAGCTGTCACAGATGAAAGCAGTGACGTCAGCATACTCTAAGTCAATAAGTCCTTCACCTAGGAGTGGCTCCACACCTTGGTCGTATCCTGTGAATGCGGTTTCCATGACTTCGTCAATAGTGAAGTTGAAGAGGAGAGGTGACAGCAGCATCCTTGTCTTAAACCGTTGGAGATAATGAAGGGCGGCAACTTGTCCTATGCGGTCACACTACTTGAGCTACGTGTAAAGCGCTCGGGTAATATTTGCATATTTATTGAGCACACATTTCCTTAGCAAACAGTCCCAAAGACCAGAACGATTCACCGAATCGAAGGTACCTGTAATGTCTTAACAATCCTTTCAGAAGGTGATAGGGGTTGACAGCGATTAAGAGTCAGAGCAAAGTGAGAATAAGGCGCAGCCAGTGGCTCTAAGGACTAACAGCTGAGAGAGAAGAACTTAGTGACGCCTCATGCTTCTTTGTTAATTCATTATGTTGAATACTGCCTCTTGAATACGTCAGGTTCTAACAATGTGATACCAACTCTCCTAGTCGGATGAACGAACGTAGACTCCGAATTATTTCTCGCACAGCACGGTAACTGACAAATCTCGAAGTCTGTGAGTTCTCGGAACTTAGCCGCGAAAGATTAATTCACGCGAGTCGAACGGGTTCCTAGACCGAACGCCAAGTTTCTACGCACGATTTCCCAACCCAAGACTGTATCAAGCACAAGACAGGCCTTTTACCACAGGCGCTTTTACTGGCCAATGCTAAGGCGATTCTAACGTTGTACAGCCTCATTTTTATATCACGAAACAGTGATGAAGGGGGGTTTTCCCTTGGAAGGGTTTGCGTAAGCAAACCCTGGAAACAGGAAACATGGTTTTATGTAAATATGCAAAGTCCGTAAACTGAGCAGAAATGTTGGAAGTTTGGCGAGAGTTGTCCGGAAAAATAAATGTGGCTTGGATACAACAATGCGTGTTTGGTTGGAAACAAGACTGCTTCTGGGTACAAAGACTAAACGAATGTGAATGTTTCACGAGTTGGAAGGCTGATTGAACGTGCGCGTTGTCTGATCTGAGTACATGTGCACTTGTGTAAATCGGGTTTTCAGCCTTCCGTAATTTAAGCCTTTACTAATTATAACTTGGGGTCCGCATAACACATTAACTCACAACGACGGTTCTATTCAACCTGCTGCAGCGGCCGTGCACATTCTAAGACAAGCTTGTACAAACTACTTGTTCCATCCAAGTGATCCAGATTCATCGAACTTTGTGGCCGAACACCACACCACAAGGGATATGTAAATAGATAAATAAACGGTATACTTATCGACAAGTGAGACAATCCGACTGAATGTTTGCCTCACTGAGTGGGTGGATCCAATCCTAGGCGAGCACCCTTCCGAGAGATGTTTCAAATATCGCCTAAGTTGGGTCCTGCTATTTTGTATTCAAGGTTTCTAACGGACTTAGCCCGCGTAACTGAGGTGCCGAGTGCGATCAGATAACTAATAACACCAGTGACTATCGCAGACACGTCCAAATGGATGGTCATTATTCCACGAAGTAATGATGCGTAGTCGGTGATTGTGTTTAGTTCCTCGTACAGTGTTCTGCGCACCGTACTTGACTGCTATAGCATGCATTGCAACCTCTGTTTCCGTTTGATTTGTTTAAAATGGGCCTATCGGTGACTCCGATACCGTGCAAACAACGTGGAAATGTCACTACGTGTGTAGACGCTACGTTACACACGTCCTGTCTGTTTCTGTCAGGGTTTATTGTGATTTATCTGTCCGTTTGTTAGTAAAGCAGTGCACCTGCACGTAGCTATCCCTCTTCACAGCCTCAAATATGCTCAACTCATATTCAACACTACCATGTTTATGACACATTTGTCCCACCATCGGCAATGCGCGGTTTGAATTATTTAGATGTCACCTGAACCTCGATAACACTGATGTGATGCATTGATGATCAAAGATGTATGGACTCTAGAAAACTCATTTTTGTGAAGGTACCTAGCGTTGTAGTTAATTTTTCGCATAAGACATCGCACATGGAACAGTATTGGAACTCCTGATGGTGCAAACACTTAATTGACGTACACTAGTTCGGTAGCATCCAGTTGATTCTGTAGTCACATGTGACATGAGCGACGTCGTGGTGCATCTCGGTTAGGTCATGGACGAAACAGTCCTTCGCCTAACGGGCGTTGCGTTTCTTGTCCCAGTAAGCCAGCCAGGGCTTCCGGCACTTCGACGCTCAAACTTTCTTACTTCTGCAAACAGAGACAGAAACAGATCCCAAGCAATCTATACTAACTTTATGAAATGTTCAAGAGATCTTATCGACCACGGGCTATTTGGTGTGCACCCACTAATCTCTGTGTAGTTCCGGAAACAGTGTCGACCAATTCATATACAGATCTCTTTTAAAGACTGTCGCATTACATTCCAATGATGCAGAGGGGTGAATTCCAACTATGTACGACACGGTTCGTAAATATTTCGCCAGGATATCTAATCCGAACATCTGCTGCATTAGCTTTAGGTGGTGTCATCATCATCACGTTAGCTGAAGTTAGTAAACGCACCTCAACTAACGTGCTGCAATAGAAGACATAAGAAAAAAAACATTACAAAATACACATAAAAAAACCATAAAAACGTATTGTGATGCGTAGTACCATATTAAGCATCGCGTGTAAGAACGCGGCTGAAGGATCATGCTAAGCGGGAGGGGGGGGGGGAGCTTCTCGCCATGTCAACCAGTTTATCCAACAAAACTTTTTCATCTTTCTTCGGACCCCAACCCGGCAGTCGGGAAACACCAACCGACGCCAACTTCGAAGTGAGGGTCTTCATACTACGTGACCACATCATCGCTTGGCCTCCACTCCTTTTCTTCCATTCACACTCCAGTCGCTCAAATAACGCACGTCGCGGGAGTCAATGTGCTGGTATGCGCAACACGTGGCGCAGCCATCGGGGCCAGGTTCGTGAAATAACGGTGCTGAGCATTTCGTTTCCACTTCCTATGCCCAGCCCATAGCCTAAAGGATAACAAGCCTACCTTGTAATCAGAGGCTTTTTCCTATGGTAGTGAACTAAAACTGGCGCTGATGCTAAAGAGTTTTTAGCACGAAGGCGGACTGATGCTCATCATTCCACACCCGTGGAGTGATTTTAGGTAGCAGTGCGTTCAAAGGAGCTACAATAGTTGATGCCCCCGGTAAAAACGACGACAGTGTGATAAGATTCTTAAGAATGATCGGATTTCATCCGCATTCTTAGGCTGCGGTACCTGTATAATTGGGGATACTTTATCCTGCAAAACTTGCAGACCTCCTATCAAGTTGGTAGCCAAGATAACACACAGCTTTAGACAAAACACATTTAGATTTCTTCAGTTTCAATTCATT